TTAAGTATAAATTGTCTTATTCCATTGACAAATGTCTCTTTTACCTCCCTTAAATTCAAGAAAAAATGCACTTCCTTTAAGAAAAAGGGACTAGATCTAGATTTTGATTTTTTTTTTTTAGGTAAAAAAGGGGAGAACATTTTTTTCCCATTTATTTGAGATTTGAGACTAGTTCTAAACTTTAAAAAAAAAAGTTTAAAAGCATCTTTGACCATAAAGAAACATCCTCTCATCTGCCAGCACTTACCTGTCAGGGAAGTCTTCGGTATTTAGACCCGCCCTTTGGCTGCTGGCACCTCACCTCCACCATTAAAAATCAACTGAAGTCTTTTATCTTGACAGCATTCCTGCTCATATCTGGCAGCCAGTTCTGCGTTAAGCAGCAGCTCGTCTTCAACCATTAGCTCCTGCTGTTTAGACAGGTCTGAGAAGAGACCAAGGACAGAAACGCATTCCAGTAAGTTCTTGTTTCTGCACAAGTTTTCAGTTCGAGCTTCCAGTTGTTTTTTTTTCTGATATGAAACTTTTGTTAAACAGCTGCTCCAAGAGATGAAAAGACTGTACAAAAGGAAGGAGCCTCCAGGAGCCGTGCTGGAGGATCACTCAGTGGTGCAAGAGGCCCTTGTTCCCAGTATGACTGTCTTCAAGCGAGCCAAGCGGAACATAGGTAGGGATTCAGTTTTTAACCAGACAAACACATAACAGGAGATTTTGGAGTGAGAGGGGAGGCCTAATATTTAGAGACAGTCGGGTATTTGCTCCCTGGAGAAAAACTCTTGATGTGCTGCTAAGAGTGGCCAAGTGACCCACTGCTTCCAACGGGATGGGTTAAATGCAGAGAACAGATTTCCACTAGTTTTTGGGGAGATTAATTTTTTCCTCTCAAAGGAATTATATTATATGATATTAGGGTTTAACTCATTCAGTTCAATTCATAGTTGTTGAATTTATAATGAATGTTTCCAAAAGTGAAGTTCAAACACACAGCTTTTGAACTTGTGTAGAGATCTTTAATCTGATGATCATACCTCCAGCTGCATGGTTTCACCTGGCGGAGACACTTTAACTGCTGTTAATGGTACACAGAAGAAGCGAGGGAAGGAAAAATTCTAATCTTCTCTTAAATTGTGTCCTTCATCTCTCTCATATTTTCCTATGTGTGTTTTTCACGCCTTTAACAGGTTTCTATGATCTTTATATTCTGCATTTTGGATGGTCCTTTTCGCTTTTTATTAAGGCGTATATATCTCTGTAAAAGTACATTTGTAGCCATTTCCCCTGATCAATACGATACACTGCAAAAAAGTTCCAGAAAAAATGACATGTTTCTTAAATAGATGCATTTACTTTTAATTTTGAGGAGGTAAATAGAAGGATTTGCCAATAGAATAAATTTTTTTTAATGTTAAAATAAAATAAATAGATAATATGCATTTGCACGGAAGCCGAGAGCGGCGGGCTTTTCTTTTTCATTTGCCTTTTAGAGATAATTATCTTGTCATCCCGAGAAAACAGTGATTTATTTCTTGACATAAAAAGATGATTAACCTTGGTGAGTAATGAAGGAGGCTGACCAACAGCCCTGGATTCCCAGTCCATCCATGCCTGCGGTGCCTGTAGTTGCGCAGTCTTGGTACGGTTTGTCCGCAGATAATCAGTTTCCTTTTTCTTTTCGCTCATTGTTAGGTCATGGTGGATGATTGGATTCCATGGAATACAGTAGAAATAATTCTGAAAATCTTTATTCTGGACTCATTTTGGGGGTTAATCCATCTTAAAGCTGTTACAGGCGTAGCACCTGGGCTCTTCAGTAAACACCCGGAGGCATCGGTCTAATTGCTCATGAATCAGAAGAGAATCATCAAAACAGGAACGTCGTCTCATTACCTGAAAGTTAAACACAGGATCATTTACAGGATTACACACAGGCTGCCATGACTTATACTTATCAAACCACTGTCGCTGTTGTGGTATTGAAGGATGTAATCCGTTTAACACACACCGATCATCGCATTATCACAAGAAAACAGCTTTCATTATCTTTAGATAATGAGAAAATTAACTAGTTTTCTCGAGAAAAACACTGTGAAAAATTATCGAAGGGACACGGCCGCTTTCACCTTCCGTGCACTTGAAATATTTTTCTTATTTGTTATTTTAAATGTAGATTGTCTTATTACATTGGCAATGTGTTAACCTTACCTCCTCAGTTCGAGAAAAAAAACCCCCACTTATTCTAAGAAAAATTGACCTATTTAGATATAATTTATTTGCAGTGTAGAGTAGGTATCCTAAAAAAAATAGATGGCTATGACTTTTAAAATGCTTTAGGACCTGCTCTATGGTTTTTATTTTTGCAATAACTGCTGTGCATTTGGTCAATCTTGCACCTAAATGAAGCTTTGCAGCAGATTATTTTTTTCGATCCAGCATTACACCAACAAATATTCGGTATATTTTCTATTTTCTGCAATGCGAAAAGTATGATCTTGGTTTGAAGCCTTTAATATTTTACTCAGAAGCATACACTCCAGATTTATATAGTTTTCCATTCTTTGTATTCACACTGGAAAAACGATCTAGAAATATGTAAAAATGTCTTTAAATAAGTGTATTTACCCTTAATTTGAGTAGGTAAATTAAATGATCTGCCAATGGAAAGAATATTTCTACTCTTAAAATAAGTTAATTAGATAAAATGCACTTGAAATAAGACCACACAATTGTATTTTCTTAATTTAAATGTAAATTGTTTTGTTCTATTGGCAAAATGTCATTTTTACCTCCTCGATTCAAGAACAAATGCACTTATTTTAAGAAATAATTACTTATCTAGATATTGATTTTTTTTTTTCCAGTGCAGAAGTTTCCAGTTCTTCTGTCAGAATTTGTTGTTTATGCATTTTTTTTTATTTTTTATTTTTTTGTAGTTACGTCAATAATTGTGTAGTTTTAGTTGTTGTTCTTTTTTGTGTGCGAATGTATGTTTTGTAGTTTTGTTTCCAAGTGTTTAGTATCTTCCCCTGCTTTCTCAGGGCTCTTGCTTTTCTAGGGTTGTCAGCTTTTTTCCTTAAGGCATTCTTATTTAGACAGACATCTAATCCTTTAATGTTTCCTTTTCTTATAAACATGGCGGCTTTAATGGATTTTTTATTCTCAGTGGTTGTTCTTTTTTTTTTTTTTAACCCCAGTTTCTTCCGAGTGCGGGAATCTTGTCAACTGCTGCTCTGTACATTTCAGCCTGGAGAGACTTGCAGAGAAAAGTTGCAATAAGAAAGATTTAAACGACTGAAATAAAGAAAGATTTAAACGACTGAA